TTGTGTGCACTGCTGTTTTAGGCTAACTCTGGCTATACACTGCTATGTCAACAAAAGTCACTTTTGCCATATGGAAACCTAATTAGGTCCGGACAATCTGTTCCAAACACTGCAGAATTTCAAGTCATTTTTAAAAAGCAGTTGGATTTTATCTGATGAAATATCTAACAGCAAATCTTTGTTAAATAAATCTTATATTTCAGAGTTAGAATTTACTTTGAGTGGAAGATAATAAAAATTGAGATTTTAATTATGTGTAAGTGTTTGTAAATGTATTGGGAAAGAAGTACTGTATTTCTTTCACTTCTTCAGTAAAAGTTTAATCTAAACTGGGTGCCAAAGTACCATGATTTTAAAGCCATAATAGCCATGCCTTTTTCATTTTTATGCTAAAGTAACACAATGCAAATGAACACCTGACTGTGGATAAAAAGAGACATTTTAATCTTTTGCCTTCTTTTCTGTTAAATTGCATAGAGGGTCTTTTTTTTGAGGGGGGGGGTGGAGTAGCAGATACTGCCTACAATTGGACCTCAATATATATCGGCATGTCAGCTCTGGGAAAAGACTCAGGAAATGGGTATCAATGTATAGTACAAAGATACTTCAGTGGCTTCTGCCTTTTACAATTAACCATCAACAGTAAAGGAATGAGCAGTCAAGAAAAATGCCACAGACTAGTACTTACTAAAACAATCATGAAAGCTCTGGAAAAGATATTCAGATGCTGTGATATCTTCTATAACGACAAAAAGCACAGTGCAAGCCAGGGTATTTCCTCTGACACCCCATGGAAGGACAAATTGAAGAAACAGAATAGGAAAAGTATTGATACTTTTAAACTTCAGTGATTATTGAGAACGCTGTGGACAGCCACAAAACAAACCCATGGATCATTGAATAAATCAACTCAAATTCTCACTTGATGCACAAACGATCAAGCTCAAATTGATCACAACATCATGTGAAGATCTAGCTTTCTGGAGAATGCTCTAGGTGAGGAGTGTCAAACTCAAGGCCCACAGGCTGGATCCGACCCAGAGGGTGCTTAGATCTGGCCTGCTGGACTGGCTTGGAGACAGCAAAGGACTGGCCTGTGGTGTCTGTGCCAGTGAAAACGGAGCTTGGGAGGTTACAGGAGGCCTCACAGCGGAAAATTGAGCTCAGGAGCCAGTTTTCGCTGGCAGAATGCTCTGCACCATAGATGCCCAAAACACAAGTGATGTTGAACTGGCGATGCCTACCCTGGCTACTCCCACCCTGGCCCCCTGAGGTCAAACACAATCCTGATGTGGCCCTCAATGAAATCAAGTTTGACACCCCTGCTCTAGGTGAAAGGAAAGTGAAGAGGATGACCAGCAGCGAGATGGATGGACTCATTTATAGTGAAAGTTGGTACAGTGTTGAAAGACATTGAAGACCAGGCTAGGAACAAATCATGCAGAAATTCTGTGTGGTTGATAAGAACTGACACTGACTCGGTGGTACCTAATCAATTGGAACAAAAAGGACAAGTGCTTTGTTATCCAGAAAAGCTTAGTTTCTACATCTAGTTCTCTCTTACTCCTGATAGGCTTTCACAATTCTGATAAGCAAAAAGCCAAAAACTGATTGGGGGTTAGTAGGAAAATGGAAATACTTGGCTCTTAACACACTTTTCCATCCCAGATGCTTTACCTGACATGTTTGCCATTTAATATTAATCTGTTGCTTCTCCTGTAGAACATCCCAGGCAGAGGGATCCTCCCAATATGTTTGTATGCAGTTTTAAGTACAAGTGGGCCTGAGCACTATGATGTGGAATGCAAATAACATCTCAAAATCTAGTTTTGAGTCAAATGGCCTAAACAGAGTTAATACATGACTCGAGATTTTATAGCAAAATCTGCTCCCAAAATGATTCCATTACTTGAAATAATTTTCCTTAGTGGAATCATATATCAGATACAGTTAGTTTTCCAGTAATTCCAGTTAAATGTAACCTAATCAATGCTGTGTTGCTTGTGTGTGTGCCCTTCCCCATGACTGTTTTGTGATATTGCCAAGAATTGTCTAAGGCTGTTTGTTTGGGTTTTTTCCCTACATGCAATTATGTCTGGACTCAAAGCTGGAAGGTTTTGCAGACATCATTTGTACTTCCCAAGACTTGGCTTAAATACAATCTTAAATTTAATAACCAGCTCCAGAACAGAAGCAGATACTCCATAAATCATTTTAATGGAGAAACAGAACATTATAACCTGTTTATTTTTAGCTAACTTTCTCACAGATGAGAAAATTTTGAATGTGCATATTATTGTTACATCTCTATGTGAACATATGTATCTTGTCACAAATAAATTCGTTTAATCTTGGTGCCCCACATAAATATGCATATTTTTTCTATTTCTAGAAACATTCCTAAGTATGTTCATTTGTGTCCATGGGGGATTAAGATGGAGCAACTCCTGAAATCTACATCACAATATCATGATGCAAAGCTTTCTTATTTGCATAATAATGTCATACAAATGTTCATCATGGTTTAACCTTGCACTGTCACAATGCATGTGTAGTCATTTTGACAAACTCTTGGATAGATTGCTTATTCTCTATATATTTTAAATCTCCAGCCATGCACAAGTAGTTGTTCTGTGATTTATAGGATTGATCTGATTTGGGATTTTTGAAGACTTAATTTGTTTTTGTATAGAAGATTAGGCATATTGGTTTGGTTCATGTTATACTTAGTATGCATGTCGAATATTAACAAACCTAAGTAATAACAGAAGAGTGTACAACCTTAGCCAGTGGATGTTATGTTGCTGCTTAAATCTTTTCAGTGTGATCTTAACATTCCAGTAGAATCTAAAAACAAGTATGATTTTAAAAATTATGGCATGTCAGTCATGATTTAATTTCCAAAGGACATAAATCATATCAGTGATTTGATGTCATGATACATGTATCTTAATTGTTCTCATTGTTTCTCTGCAGACATTCATACCCGAGTTTCTCCAAAGTTTGCCATTTTTCATGTGACAGAAGTTGAAAACTGTGGAGAATAATGAATTTACTTTCATTATTACATTAAATTTATTCCAGTCATCTCCACCTTCTTCTCTTGATCATGCATAATTTTGTGACCAATGGCTGAGGCATACTTCTCAAAGTCCAAGTATACCTCACTGTGAAAATATAGTTGAACATGAAAAGTGTGCATAGAATTATATGGGTTATGGGAAATTTTTGAGAATAAAGAATCTTAGATGTAAAGAATAACAAATTAATTATGTTATAATAATAGCCAGTCACTTAATTTGCCAGTGAATGTTAGCTTAAAAGAAAGAGCTGTGTTACAGGTTCTGTATTACAGTTTTAATTGATATAATCCTGAAAGAAAGTAAGAGGATAGGGGGCACGCACTCTGCAAGATTGTTGTGGTATTGAGGTAAACCAGATAGAAGACCAAAATCCAAACATGGTACAAGAGGCCTGTGAAGAACAATTAAGATTTGCTTCATCAAAGATATTTGTACCACATGGCAAAGTAGTTTTCTTCACTGAAAAAAGTAAAATGCACAGATAAAGCACTTAATGTTGACCCAAAACTTCCTGAGTACTGCTTCCAAAGCCAGGAGAAGATTCTGCACATAAACTATACTTGGTTAGAAGCCTTCTCAGGTTTTCTGAAGAACACGCTGGACAAAGTATAGTAATGTATCCTTCACGATGGCTCACCAAAGCTTGAGCAAGATGTTTTGGAAGAGGAGAGTGCTGTATTCACTGAAGCACATGTCAAAAGTTTATTTGTCAGAGTGTAGCTAATCAAAATGACATGGCCATTTTGCTTTCAAGGAAAGGGAGGTGACTTAATTGCTTCAAGAAAGAGCTTCAATGAAGTGATTTGTTTGAATACTCAAAGAATCTCTTTGAAAATATGCATTGTTCTATGATTCAACATTTATTGTTACAGGGGAAACAAGCATGTACACAGAGAGAGAGAGAGAGAGGGAGGAGGAGGAATATAAAGCACACATTCATGCATGACTGACACTCATCAATCATTGTATTGCCTGCATCTCCTACTTGGCGGGTTGCAAAAAAACATTTAGGTAGCCTTTACATTACAATCAAATGATGCAAAACATCATTCTTTGCACATATCAGTAGTTTTCAGTATGGACTATATGCCCCCCCCCCCCCAGCCTGTTATATTTTTAGAAGTTACAGAAGTAAATGAGGCTTAGAAGGTGACTATGAGGGAAAAATGGTTTAGAACCTCGGATATAGTTGACCCAAAGTGTGGGTGAGGCTGGGCAGAGAAGATGAGTTGATGTATAAATTATGCCATGGTTGCAAAAAGAGTGATCTCTTTTGGGTTGTTTATTTTTTTATTTTTTTTTATTTTCACATTTGGAAAAATATTCTGCTAATATTGACTGCAAGGCTGAGAAAATGTTATGTTTTGTCTTCACTGGTGGCTTGGATTGTTGGCCTAGTCTATTAAAAATGTTATCTTTCCTCACAACATTCTGAGATCGTTTCTGGTTTACATTCCCTTGTTAACTTTTTCATTTTATAGCCAGGTCTTCTATGACAAGATTATTCCATGTCTGTGCTGGTCGTCTGATATCTAATTGCTTACCTTTGTTTTGTACAAGTCAGATGTCTACAAAGTTAATTGTTTATAAGTTTCTAGAGACCTAGTATTTGTCTTGCTGGGTATTAATGTGCCCGATTGTTACTATTTCCATACCTCCACCCTGATCTTGTCTTCTATTCGATTTAAAATTTTGCCTTCTTTGCATACTTTCAGCCTTCCCCCAGCCTTATTCTATATTGCTTCAAACTATTTCAGTCTTTTTATAGAGTTGTAAAATATCATTAGGCTATCAAGTTCAAGTCTTGGATCATTTCATGGTCTAAACTAGCCCTCCACAGGTTGTGCCTTTGTATGAGTCGTCATCGTATGCAAAGATGGGCCACCATTCACAACCACCTTTCTCTTTGTGTTACAGAAAATGCCAGTGAGGAAAATCCACTGCAAAGCCAATGCTCCATCTGGATCTTTTTTTGCACGGGACAATACAGCAAATTTCCTATCTTGGTGCAGAGATGTGGGAGTGGATGATACTTGTCTCTTTGAATCTGAAGGGTTGGGTATGTATCAGCCAGTAACATGAGGCACTTTTTAGTATATTGCACTATACACCACATATGTTTTTAATGATTTTCATGGGATATAATCATGAGATCACGTTCTGTTTCAAAATGTAATTTTATCAATGATGTCATTATTTCTCCTCCATATTGTTTGCAGAACTCAAGACTTTATAGTTTCTTTACTTTTGGAATAATGTGCATTATTTTAAGGGTATAATAATAATTCAGAGTTTCGAAGAAAATAAAAAGATTTCAATAAATAGGTTAAAAAGACTTGATTCAGCTCTGATGTGTTTTAGATTGTAATCAATATAAATCTTCCCCATAATTTTGATGCCCATAGCTTCACAGTGGATATTTTAAATTTCTTGACAAGTACACTTGTTCAATAGACTAGTACTCTCTGCAACTGGCTATTTGGAGATTACAGAAATGCTGCTATAATCTCTGTCATTGTTCTCCAGATATTCCAGAGGATGGGAATGAGGGGCAAGGCATGGTGGTATCTTGATTTTAGGAAAGATGGAGCAGCTCTGAGGAGCTAAATGGGTCAAGGCAGAAGTTCTTTCTCTTGGAAAATTTCACCTTGTAATTCCAAAGGAAACATTGTTTTCTCTAGAACAGCATATAATCAACTGTGAATCAGAATTCAGAATTCAACTCTCCCACTTTGCTAAGACTTCTAAAACCCTTGGCATTGTGAGGACTTGAAGTGCATCTCTGATTTCAAGTTGGTGTAGCTATTGAATGGAGAAGGATCTTTACATAGAGGCTAATTTGATACTCATTCATTTGGGAGGTTAATACATTGATTACCTTGATTACATTGTATGATTGCTATGCATGCCAGAAAAACTGAATGATGTAGTTGTTGTATCACTTCAAAACAAAAGAAATAATTGCATTACTGAATTTTTCTAAATTATTTTGAAGAAAGGGCAGTTTTCTCTTTATTTACCTGTTGTCTGCATGTAGTAGGTTTAAAAAAAATCTGGGGAAGCATTTAGATAAGCAACCACTTAAAATATATTTAATAGTAGTAGTATTCTGGAGATCTTTATCATATTTCCCACCTAAATGTTTTAGCCCTAGATCATTTCTCAGTGAAAATTATTCAAGAAAGTGAGTAAAAATTCAGACTATACAACTCATTATGCTCAGGATTTTTCTATTATGTGCTATTATTTCTCTAATCACAATTAGCATTCTTTATCTTACTGATCTATGTAGTTTACCCGGTAGTTTCAAAAATTATTGAGTTTTAAATGTTATTCATTTAGCTCTTAATAACTAAAGCAGACCCACAGTTCAACTGTATGCTTATAACTTTGTAGTATGTGCATATCCTTATTCTATGATTAGACTTATTCTGCTTCTTCCAGCTTTTTTTCTGATTATTTGGCTTACTGGACAAAATTGTTCTGCAAATTCTCAATAACATTTGTAAAAAATGGCAAATCAGAAAAAGATCTTAAGCATAATAACTGATAATCACTTGCTTTCTCAGATGATCCTTTTTTAAAAGTATGCCCTGAATAAATAAAGGAACAAAGGACTCATATATAATTATTTAATTTTGGTATCTTAATAATAATAAAATCAAATATATACAATACCAAATTTAATATCAAGATCTTTCAGTTAGTAATTTCTTCTGCCAACTATATATGTTATGATTTTCATGTTTAGATCATGAATGATCAAACATTAAGGACAAAGATGAAATTAGCACCATTGGATAATACTTGCTATGAGATTATATGGGAACATACTAAATTGCTTTGTGAACATACTAAACTGTTTTAAAGAACTGCAGATAATTGCTAATATCATGATTCCAGATACGTTGAAGTTCCTTTTTGCCTTCCAATGGGAAATAACATATACCTCATCCCTGTAACTTAATTCTTGAATCACCTTAAGAAATCCACAATTTTCATAGTTAATAGCTACCTGAAATATACTTTATGAAAAATTGATCCATACTGTATTGATTATTTTTTCAAATACAGTCTAGGTATATTTGATTATTGAGGAGGGGTGCAAATCAGACCTAATATGCCAATACTATGTTGCTCTGCTTTTCAAATCAAATTACTATTAATCTACAATAAGACAAAGTTGGATAATTTTTAAAAGTTAAGCAATGTTGGACCTGGGTAGATCTGGATAGCAGATAACAAGGATATTCCAGGACTTTGTGTTAGTCTGGGAAAGTTTTTTTTTTAATAAAAACATTCTGGAAGAAAATAATAAATCACCCCTGGTGTAGAGGTTTGGTTCATTGGTTAAAAAAATAGAAATCCAATTAGAAATCCACTAGAAATCCAATTATTTTAAATCTCCAGGAGATAGAAATGGATGTTGCTTGTGTCCTTGAATTCATATCTAGAATTCAACTGAATGTGTGATTTTAAAAATGGCATAGAACCATTTTAAAAATAACAGGATGGAAAGACTCTTGCCTTACATTGATTTACTGCTAGCTACTTCATTCAGAGAAAAAGAGGAATCAAATGACAATATCTTGTACCTTGCATCAGATTTGTACCACAAAGGCACTGGTTCAGGTAAAATCCTCATCTTTGTAGTGTTTTGTACTCCTTTTCATTCTTACAACAGATCTCTTTTGATACAAAATTTGGGACAACTTTTTTGTCTCAGGATTGTATTTCAGCAGAAGATGAAAAGAACCAGTTGTTTATTTGGAAATGAAATTCAGCTATTGTGATGGAAGATGAGCCTAGTGAATCAACTGAGACTTCTGTTTTCCACCACTCAAAAGGTTTTTGAATATGTGTAACTCATATCTGAGTTGCAAATGATCTGTTTGTCTTCTGTATTGAACTTCCTTATCTTACATTTTTGTATGTGAGAATAATGTGTTCACATTGTGTTCTTTGCTACCATCGTTACTCATGTTGATTACATAATATATATCTATTGATAGCTGTAGTTCTGTTAAATTGTGTTTAAACACACTGATATGCTAATAAAATTGCAAATTTTGCCCTATTGCTCCATAAGAAAAAACCCTGTAAACTCATAGAACAATAATTTAGGTTTGTAAAAGAATACGCCTTCCTTCAAAACAATTTTCTTGGGTAATTTAGAACGTTGGAAAATCATGTTAAATTCTTATAAGGAATTGAGTCTGAAGTCAGAAATAATAAAATCATCAATCTTTAGAATGAACCAAAGTATTACAAAGCCAGATACATTTTTGAGGTTCCCAGAAATCTTCATTAGCAAAATGAAGAACTCAATAGAGTTATTTTCACTTTCATTTGAAGCTTCAAATATATTTTCAGACAATTGTTCATTTAGTTTTGATTGTATCCACTTAATTTTAATTTTAAAAAGACTGTAACAACAACCTGGATCACAAGAAAAAACTTATCCTGTCTTGTTTCCCATAATAGCCAATTAATTGCTTCTTCTGACCATTTAAATACTGAATTTTAGTAGTTTTGATTGTAAATAATTGCCATGACTAGTAGCTATATAACTATGATCAGATATTCCACTATTTAAAATATTCAGAAGATTAATAGACATGTTTTTTGAAGTGTTTGTCCCCCTCCTGTTATTGAAGATACTTTCTTAAAGGTGGTCTTAATTTCACTTCTGCTAATGACTGGTTTTCAACTTTACTGCAACTATCTAGAAGTGTTAGAGCTATTAATAATTACACAAAGAAATAAATATCTATGGAGATTCTCAGTCATCCAGATCATGGTTGTCCCAAACGTGCTTTTTCAAGAAGCAACTGGACTTTCTGGTTTTTCTTTGAAGATGTTTCACTTCTCATCCAAGAAGCTTCTTCAGCTTCTGAGGAGCTGCAGAAGCTTCTTGGATGAGAAGCAAAATACCTTCAAAGAAAAAACCAGAAAGTCCAGTTGCCTCTTTAAAAAGCACCTTTGGGAAAATAAATAAATACATTTACCAGATCATGATAATGTTGTATAAACATTTTAATGACTTTACAGAATCCCCTTCCTCTCATCCTTCATTTTAGCATACCATCTTCTAATATGACTTTAGAGAAGTATCCACAGGCTATGAATTATGACAGTCCAAAGTAATTTATTTTATTGCTTGCTTTCCATCAGTTTCTGAGATCATAGTACAAGCAAAACTAAGCCTACAGATTACTCAGTGACTAGGGCTGGCATGCAAATCCCTTAGAAGATAGATACAAGAATTGGCCACTGATAGTATACCCAGACAACTATAGTAAAACTTTTTAAAACAGCAACCCTTATTGTAGAACCATTCCAGGAGAACCATTTCTCCTGATTGTTTGGAGAAAAGAAGCTGTTTTGGAGTGAACATCTGTTCTTTCAGTTATATATCAGCTCAGTCATCTCTGCAGGAAGGATAATATTTAATTCCTTAGATATTTTCTAAGAAGACTGTTACAAAAAGTAACATAAAATAACCAATAGTGTTCAGAATGTACTGTCAAAATGGAATTAAGTATATACAGTATCTATTTCATTTCCATGGGGATTTGGGAGAGATTGGACAAAGAAAACTATAAAACTGTTATTGAAACTAGTGGTGGCTGAAACTAAGTACTTTTTTGCATACTAAATCAATACCTGAACACTTCTTTTGTGTACTAAAAATACAAAGTCAAAAAGCTCCTAGTTCAAAAGTTAGAGATCTTAATGGCTGCTCTTCAGGCAGTTGCTAAGAGGTAACGTTGGCTGTGGGGCTTAAAAAAATCTTACATAAGTTCTTTTCAAGCAATCAGTTTTTAAATCAAGCATATACATGGGTGAAAAATGGAGATGTAAGTATATTTCTGCCCTTTATTCTTCCTGAATTCCATACCTTCAGCTGGGTTTCTGAAAGTGGAAATGAGCTCACATCGCTTTGAGTGTGAGTACCTCTTTCCAAAGAGTTCAGCTCCGCAATAAAACACAGGGTACCACATTATCAGGAGACTGTATGCATATTCAAGCAAATAAGAATTACTATTTCTTTTTTGA